ACTATGCCCCCAATACCGTCATCCAAGTCATTAATAAAGATATTGATTTGCCACTGCCTTCCCCTGGGGCTGAGAGCATGTGACTCGCCCAAGGTCACCCAGTGGGTTTCATGGACAAGCTGGGAATCGAACCCTGGTCACCAGAGTCATCGTCCAGTGCTCAAACCACTATGTCACACTGACATGTTAGTATTATGCCCATTTTACAAATAGGAAAATAAAAGTTGAGAAGACATTTCAATTCATCCTGTATGCTATTGTTGCATCTAAAGTGCTGGTCTGGCTCTGAAGCTGCTAAAATGATATTCTAAGGCTCTAGTTCTCTACATTCCTTGTGTGTATGTGTGCACGTGCACATGCACACCTTTTAAGTCACCTTTCACTTATGGCGATCCCATGAATTTCATAGGATATTCTTAGGCAAGGAATCATCAGAGGTGATTTGCCATTGCCTTCCTCTGAAATATACCTACAGCACCTGGTATTGCTTGGTGGTCTCCCATCAAGTACTAACCAGGGCTGTCTCTGCTTAGCTTCCAAGATCAGGTGGGATCTGGTGCCTTACCGGAGAACAAGCTGCACTGAATTTAATGAGATTTACCTCTTATGTAAGTATACACAGAGCTGTGCTATTAAGCTTTGCCGAGGAGGTGAGGATACGAGTAAATAAATGAATTAAAAATGATGCTCATATGGAAAGAATGAGTAATACAATATTCCCACATTTTAGTCATCCTGACAACAGTGCCGCAGGCTTCTGCACAAAGTACCTTGCAGGGATCCTAGGTCAACCACAGCCCCTGTTCTTCCTCTTCTTCAGTCTTTCTTTAGAACACAGCTGAGACAATGCAATTTATTCTGTAGTATCACGGGTCATCTGCCAAATAGACTGTTGTGGGAGGCAGCAGGCTTAATTTGTGTATTCCAGTTTCAGTCCAGTGGAATGAAAGTGTAGGTCAGTGGCAGAGGACAGGTTCACCTCCACCATCCCCAGTTAAGAATCA